ATTCGCAGATGCATAGGAAAGATATCACAACATCCATCATCGGAAGCTATTTTCTATGCCGTTAGATGGTGTTATTATTTTTGTGTGTGCGTGTGTTTTTTTTTTTGAAAATATGTAATTACATGTACACACACACTGCGAGGTGCCACAGCTTCACACCAGCCAAAGAGACATTTGTTTGTCTGAATGTTCCAGTGTGAGCAAACTTGTGCACAAGCGTGTGTCTGTGTGTGCGCGCATATCTGGGGGTTTGTAAATTGGCGGGGAGACGCTTATTGACTTATTAAAAAAAAAAAAGAGAGAGAGACATTTGGAAATGTACATAGTTTTTTTTTTTTTTTAATTGATAACTTGTATTTTTAGCCTGGTTTAGTTTGTGAGATGGCATGTAGTTTTTTATGTAGTGGTTTTGTATGTACATGGAAATGATTTGCATAAAGAAGATGAATTATTTACATGTATATGTAAATTAATTTATACACCATCATATGTTGATATACTGTCATGCTGTTGGGAGTTTTCACTACAAGATGGAGAAAGAACGCTGGATGTTTTCTTTTTTATTGTGACATTTGTAACAGGATCTATTAGCTCGGTCACAACATGTAAAACATAAGATATTTATGATTTACTGTTCACATATTCTTTACTTTGCTGGGAAGGTTTCAGTGCAACAGCTGATGGCAAGATCATTCAGTGTGACATCATCAGTTTTGCATGTGAGGTTTTTCTAATGAAGCCCTGATCTGGCACTTTCTTTGTGTGGAAACTTAAAAACGATGACAATCTGATGGGAATGATTTTCAGTTATCTCAGCCTTTAGCATAATGCTATCTATATTTTCATCTGTGGTCACACACGGAAATATAAAAGTGATATTTCAGTGACTTCAGACTTGAGTTTGTTCACTTATTTTAAATGCCACGACTTGATTCTTCTGAGAGTGCCAAACAGGTTTTCATGACATCAGATGAATTTTGTTGTTTAAAAAGCGATCATTGTACACCTGTCGCTCTGATCTGCCTCCACTTGGCTGCAGAACTTCAATTATGTGATGCCATTACTGACCTGAGTCAGTGCATAGGACACAGATTTCTTGTTTAACAAGAGACTGTATATTACTTGGCAATTCCTCTTCAATAGAGTGCTGCAGGGGTGATGTTATTTTTTTAGGCCAATGTGGAAGTTAGCTTCGCCCTGGTCCCCTTCTTTCAGAGCCTGTGGGATTTTTTTCATCGGATTTTGGATTACTGCAGGATTATGATACCTACAGGCTTCGGTCAGCAAGCTGATGTTTACAAATTAACACCACTTTTATTACTTTTGAAGCATAAATGCAATCACCAGAACTGAAAAGCTAGCATTAGGCTATATATGATGATGTTCTGTAGTCTCATTTAGCCACCTGTTAGCAACCATCTTTTTTACGACACATAAAAGCTTCAAAATTCATAAATGGGGTATTTATTGATGTATTTTACATCTTTAGAACAAAACGTTAGTCTCTTAGGCTTGTGTTAAGCACAGACCTTATTTCAGGCATCTAACTAAACCCCATTCAAAGAACCTGTTGACTTTGAGACGAGGGAACTGGGAGGGCTAAAATGCTAACTCACTTTTGGGTTTTGGGGCTCACTCTTGCACCACTCTAAACTCCACTTGAATACTGAATCAAAGCATTATTGTTTCCTTGTATGGAAGCCCTCGATGTTATTCAGTGCAGTCTCACTGCTGTGCTATTACAACAGTATGGATATTTTTGTACGGACAAGGATCTCTTATTTAGGAAAAGTAATTTCAGGTGCTTTAAAATGTTAATATACTCCTTTATCTACAACTGTAAGACCCTAGCTGACTGCAACCTCAGTTTGTACCTCAGCAATCATTGAGAATGAGAGTTATTAGACTGAGAGCCTTCTTTCTGCACCATAGTGCCTCTTTTCCATGGCTGATTTCTAAATCACTGCTAGACAAATGTAGGATTGACTTATTTCCAGACCACCTCACCTGACTTTTCATACTCTGCCGTGCCCAGAGAGCGAGATTTTTGTCTCATTTCTGCAGAATTAGGTGGATGACTGAGCACGCTGGCTTAAAGCCAAAGAGAATGTGACAGAGGATAAAGTACCCGGGCTGAATGCTGTTCAGTTTTTCACTGGCATGAGAGGTCATTTTCACGCTCTGTGTTCTCTGGTCTGTTCCTGTGCATGATGTCATGTCATCCTGCAGGGTTGTTTTGCATAGGAACTTTACAGGTTAAAGACATTCAATTCCCCTGTATTATCTGGTGTTTTTTTTTTTTTTTTTTTTCAAAAATATTATTTTAAAAAGGGGATTATTGAACAGAATTTGTGGTTTTCACCTTGTCGTTGAAAGAAATGGTTATTTTGTGTATTTTTGTTTTGTTGTACAGACATTTTGTAATAAAAACAAGATGAAACACAGTGAGCTGTTCAAAGAACGACCACGTCTCCTGCTGAAGAACTTTTTTTAATTGGGACGGAGGATGTTAAAGAAACCAGATTTGTCCTGAATGAAACCTAACACATTGTTTAACAGCAGTGTTGTAATGAAGACAGCGGATTAGGAATAAATGAGCCAATGCCTCCGAGAGACTGCTTCACTTACAATTAACTCTGCGAGGCATTGGGAGGCGGGAGGAGTGAGCATGCACCTTACCTTAATGTCTCAATTATGCATTGCACAATCACAAAATCAAACTGGCCATGAGATAGAAGAAGTATAATGAGACTCGTCCCATTTCACACCAGAGGAAAGCAGCGATTAACAAACAAATGCGACATGATACAGTGATTGGTCGAAGCTGAAACGATGACGTCAATCAGTTGGCATCAGATTTTTTTGACTACACAGAGTCCTGTACATGTTCACAAACCAAACAAAGTCTATGTAACACAAGAGATAGGCATAATAGGATCACAACAAACAGTAGTGAAGCAGAAACCCCATACACATCGATCCTAGAAGTCCTCAGAGATACACAGTGTGAAGTAAGGCATCATATCTCCCTGTCAGTGTCTTCAAACAACAAAGTGCTGACAGCTTAGGAATCATCACAGATGGCCGGACTGCCTTTTTTTTTCTCCCGTTCAATGATGAAAAATAATCTATAAGCATGCATTTACACCAGGTAGTATATCTCTATTGCTATTGTACACATACAATATACAAATGTACAGAACAAGTTGGAAAGATAGTTGATTAAAAAATGTGCATGATTCGACAATTTAAAAAAAGTTTCCCATTAAAATAGAAATGTTACTCCTGGTACATCCTAGATTTTTTTCTTTTTTGGTTTATGAAAACATTTGGAAAAAGAAAAAGCTTTTTTTTTGTGGTGTAATATTTACATTATGAACAAGGATGAAGAAAGACAATGTGCAAATCTGATTCCATGCAAGCGGTTGCATAATGTAGCTTAGGTGCTCGAGTGATGGGTTCAGAGTGGGACCAGAAAACAGACGGGGGGAAAAAAATAAAATAAAACAAGGCTCAAGACCAGGGACTCATGGCTTCAATGAATGACTCCGCCCATTCTCCGCCGCAGTTATAAACCATTACAGTATATACAAACGAACTCATTGCCAAGCGCGCTCAACAATCATGGAAACATTCACACTGGGAACACAACAACCAATGTTACATTAAGTAGCATTTTGATTTAGACTATTTTTAAATCTCACGTGATGAATCACTGATGTACGAGGTGATTTTTTAAGTTAGAGACACCCCCCTGAAATATCCAGGTAATATACAACCAAACAAAACACAGCACCTCATCAAAGATCAGCACGAAAAGGTAATACTGCTAGTAAACGCAGCACCTCATAGGAAGTCGTGATAACCTATGGAGGAATTCAGAACTCTGAGGATACTGTCAGCCAGCACTTTCCAAACTGGGGCTCTGAACCCCTGCAAAGTCTCCAGATAAATTAAGAGATCACGAGACAGTACACAAAATTGAAGGATGATGTATTTTTGCTACAAAAAGTTTTTTTGGCTTTCCTATGATATTTGCTTTGTTGGTTAATTACTGGATGAAATCAAATAACTGAACTGTTCACAACTTTCAGACATGTAGTCATAGCTTTGTTTTGGGGGTCAAAAGCAACTGGAAAAGCTACTGTATATCCTCAGTCAATGATGCATTTAAGACACTGGTCAATAAAATCAAAGGGTATGCTCCTCTGCTTACAATGAACTAATTACTGGAATTTTAAATGGTGTAAAAAACAATAACACAGTATCCCTTGGATAAAATAAACACTGGTGTGTGAGAGATGCAACACTGGGTGTGGAGAACACAAACTAATGCGGAATCAAGAACATATCTCTTACCACAAATGCCAATTTGATACTTCCTAAAAGCAAACTCCCGCCCAAACAAAGCATGAATAAACTTGAAAAATGTAACAAGTGCAATGCAATGAGGTCCGTGTGCAAAATTCACCATTTCACAGACAACATGTGATGGATGGTGACATCTTTGGGTGATGGTGATTACAGATGAGTTTTGAGAGCACAAGCACTTAAAGACAAACGAGGAAAACAAAAAGTAAATAGCATGTGGATATTCAGTCCTCAATATGACTGTTTTATATTGATTAGATCTTATTATGACATTAGTTTAAAAGGCAACCTGAAAGCAAACAAATAAATAATAGGACTTGGCATTTAAAACACGAGTGCAGTATCGTAAATACTACAGTTCAGTATGA